TTCCAACCTTAAATATTCTGTGAATCTGTGAATCTGTCAATCTGTGCAAACATTTAAACAGTTTTACTCATCTGTGWATTAAGAGGATGCCTGTATGGATTTTGGCATAGGATATTACGCTCTTGAATACAAAAGCAATTTTATACCTTATTTGCCAAGAACATGAAAACATTTTTTGTTTTCTGGTATATGCATAATTCTCTGAACAAGAATTTTGGAAGCTCTGGTTATCTTCTAGTAGAGTTGATTTTAAACCAATGCTGAATTGTTGGTTATAAAACACTTAGCTGCCTACAGAAATTGTTTTTAATCAAATCAAACTGATTGAGTTATGAGATTTTTAAAGAAAATCCCCAAGCAGAATTTTTTGATTTATCTAAAACTGAAAACTGTTTGGACACTGTTCAAGTTCTGGAATAAGCTGAAGTATGAACTTTTTGGAGAGGATATTAAAAGAACGTTTTAAGAATATACAAGAAGTGATGATCCAGATTTTTAAGTAACCTGTAACTGTTTAGCTTGAGAGCTACAAGAAAAAAAAATAATGAAAGGAATGAAGTTTCAGCAGCAATGAGCAAGAATAAAGAGATACATAGAAAGGGCAAAGTTCCTCTTTGCTGAACTCTTCCACTTGAACTCAGCACAGGCTTGAAGAAATCTGGGCATATACAACTGAAGGACTTAAAGTTCATTGGGTGCCACATGAAATGTGAGTGTGCTGGGACAAAGGTCAGTTAAAGAGAAATTTAAGCAATGCTTTGAAAAATTGATTTGGAATCTATCCCTGGTACGGGGCACCGGAAGGAGCACATTCACTGAATCCACTTGCGTTGTCAAGTGATGACTCACTAAGACTGCAATAAAACACCGACTGGCTGAGGCATATTCAGGGTTTTAATTTCTTATGCTTTTGCCACTGAAATGAGGAAGTGCAGCTCAGGTATAGGGTGAAGCAGATCCTAGTTTACTGACTTGAAAGGAGCTGAGGATAAATGAGGTCTGCAAAAGATAGCACAGAAAAGCTCAGCCTCTTGCCTTCTGATCTTCCTACTGCCTATGGCTAACAAAGGAATGGAGGAAACGCACACTAGAAAAATTCAGGTCCCAATGGATGGAAAAAAGCTCATTTATCCTCATTTTTTTGCATTCACTCATCAGATACCTTCCTCTGGCATTTTAAACAAAAGCTCAAAGTGTTCCAGCTGTGGTTACTGGCAAAACAGATATTTTGCCATGTCCATGGAGGCAACACTGTGATTACTCTATTAAGAAAACAATTCAGATCAGGGGAAGACCTGAAAATTTTCTAGTTTAATTTGAGAGCCATATTTCACCCTCATCCATATACTCTTCCATATACTACTTTGGCCCYTTTCAGAACGTGGCATTCCTGCCTGGAATCTCTCACTAAAAATTGGCAGTATTCTCAGGGAGTGGAGAAGGGAAGAAGTTGACCTGAGCATAAACTCTTCTATGAGCCATTTCTAATGGAAAGATTTTGACACTGTTGATCAGAAGGAAAGTGTGTCCTCTGTTTCTATGACATAAATGTTGAGAATTGCAGCTACAGTTCTCTTGTTGCTATATTCTTTGAAGCAAACAAAGAGTATTAATTATTTGAGCAGGAAAGTAGCAGGGGTGGGAAGCCGAAAGGCTATTCAAGAGTGTCAAGAGAAGAATGACTCTTGGCCAGATGACAGCAACCATTGAAAGCAAACTTTGAGAACTTCAAGAGAAAAATGGGAGATACACAGGTTTCTCTCCTGGAGAGCACTGCAGACAACTCYAAACCCATGGCAATTGAAACAAGATGGTCACAAAACAAAGATCTGTGCTACGGAGAGAAAGGGGTAGTGTGCACATTTGCCTTCTCCCCTAGTTTCACGGAGGAACCCTGGTGCCACAGGAAATCACTGCTCCTGGCTTACRTCTGTCTCATTAGAGTCTCACTGAGGTTTGGAGAAGCAAGTAGTATAACACTTAACAAGCACAAATACACGGGAACACTGCTGTGTTAAAAACCTAGGTGTTTCCTTGATTCTTACCTCCAAATCGTTAAAAAATAAATGTGTATCAGCAAGATTAAAAATCATTTCTTCCATTCGCAGGCCAAGRGTCACTGCCATTGGAGGATCCTTAAAAGACAGAAAACAAGATTAACTACTTAATTACTTTTTAGGTACATCATAATTACTTTAAAAGCTATTGTATAAGAAGTGTTTTGAAAAAATTATCTTGCAACAAATACCTGCAATATCCTTTCAGTATTAGGTTATTTTAATATAAAACTACAAGGAGAGACTGCTGAAATAATGTGAGAACATTTGGGGAGCTGAGGGTGTTGAAACACCATTTTCAACAAGTCAAGGCATTTATAACCTCGCTAAAGTATGACCAAGGGGAAAACTAGTGATTATGTGTAATGGAGGCCTGTAAATGCAGAAGGAATTTCTCAAAAGAGAAATGTTTATTATAATAAGAATATATTGCATTTTTCATTCTTTAACTTTTTATAATAATATATAACTATCTTAACCATTAATTAACAGGAAGAAGAAAAATGAGCCGTGGAGAAATAACTGATATTTCTGAGCCTATGTACCAAGACAATAGCACAGGAAAGAACAAAATTATTCCATGTGACACCTAATCAGTTATTGTACAATTCCTTTGATGTCTTGGCTTTTTTTCTGGTCTAAAAATCATCTTAATTTTTGGAAATACAGAATCCCCTCTACTGACTGCTGAAGATCATGTTTAGCAAGATCATGCTAAACTGGACTGGGAGTGGCAAAAAGTACTTCGTAAGTGATTATCCTACACTGTGATAGGAAGGCATGATTTAAGAGGTCTTTCCATTTTTAGTGTGCTACTTTATAAAAAGCCAGTGTGAATCTTTGTCCATTTTCCAAAATTGAATTTCACTTTAGAAATCAGTCACATCAATCTCTTACCTATGCTTTAACCTATGTATTTTTTTTTCTTTCTCTTTCTGCTGCTCCAGAATGTTTCCACAGTCCCTGCTCCTGGTCTTTCCCAGTCTCAGTATTTCCCAGTCTCTGCTCCTGTAGGCACTTTCTGATGGGTTTGCAGTCTCTCTTTCATGATATTATTACAGGCATCCAACAAAGTGCCTGTAAATGTTCTTCTAAGTCTTCTTCAATTTGTCTATAATCTGTGGCACAATTCTTTAGGTGGTCCACAGTAATGAGAAAAATTGTAAGATTTTTTTTTTTCCCCCAGAGGTTATTCCTGGAAAATTCTTTTAAATTGTTAAATATAGGATTATTCCTGTGGATGACATTCCATTCAAACTTTTGTATCTATTTGTAGTTGGGCTTTTTACGCTCTTTATTTTATCATACGCCCCAGCAAATTACCACAAATATATTGCTCTGCAATGACAGTTTGTCTTAGAGCATTTAGTGTGCAACAAACATGAAGTAATAAATTTATCTTTGGTAGGTTTGCTAGGAAAGTGGTTAAGCCACACTACATTACCTGACACGTGTTTAAGATATGAATGCACACGTGGGCAGTTTCTGATAAGTACAGTACTGTATTTCTAAAGTAGGCTTCATCCTCTTCTCATTAAAATAAGAAAAAAAAATGTATTTCATAATTTAAACTCTGATTGACATTAGTGAGTTTTTAGAAATCCTTTCTTAAATGCCTTGAGATTAAAAGACTTAAAGTTTACCACTATATTCCCATCTGGCAACAAAATCACACAAAACCTCAAATGATCATTTGTTAGTACTATGATCAAAGGCTTCTCAATCAGGATCAGACGTCTCCTATTTCGGGGCTTTGCAAAGACAGGATAAAAGATGGCTTCTGCCCCGAAGCAATTAAAAACTAATGGTAAAATCTGAAACATAGACATATTTTGACCCTTGCTCATGAAAAAGTCAGACTTGAAGGGGAGAATAGTGTATAAGAAATTGTAATGATCCAAAGTTAGACCAGTTCTCTGCCAGTGAGAGTGAAAGGAAATATTTTATGTTGACCTTTGAACTGGTCCACTACTTTTCAGAAGCAAAAACAAACTGCACTGCCTAATAAAATAACTTGATCTCCTATGTCTTCTGCAACCATATTCACTAGATCCAAAAGCCACTGGGGTGAATGGTACAGCAAGTGCAAATGTCTGTTTGGGATGACGAAGATACAAACATCAAGAGACTTGTAAAATCCCACATACTTACAAACCAAAACATRAAAAGCTCTGGACTCATGATATTCCTCATCAGGCCTAGTAATTTTATCAAAATGTTGTTACATACAAATACGCTAGTTTCTACTTTAATTCACAWTTTTTTCAGTGCCCACTTAATATTTCTTTTTTTTTCCTATTTCTAACATATAGTAAAGAGAATTCACAACACATTTTACCTCAATCCCATGAATATGAAGGTATGTGCATAACTTTATGCACAGGTGGTAACTCATTTTTATTTATGTGAGTTAAGTTATTCATTGGAATGTTTTCAAGACAGGAATCTTAACACATTTGAGTCTCAACTCCTTTTCTCCTTCCTGGGTAGAAGTAGATTTAAATGCCAAAATATGCTTTGACACGTTCCATTATAATCCAATTTATTTTAACAATACCAGAAACTACCAACTATGTATCACAATTTCCTGCATTGCCTTGTATAGCTGAAAGACATAAATGTGACAAAGCATTTATGATTTTCTTATTAGTAGTATTTGTGTAACCAGCTATGCGTGACTTTTTAACTGTTAGAATGAGTTTTCCTATGTCTCTGTTTTGCATACGCAAGTGTGAAATATTGTTATGTACTATATGCAAATAAAACAGAGTCTTCATAACAACTTCTGCTAAAAAAGAATCACAAACAATTAATAAACTTGCCCAAGCTTGCACTGCAACTGTTTAACAAGTATTAGAGGTCAAGTACCAGTTCTTGCCAATTACATCCACCTATCTATGTACAGAAACAGATAAAAGCAGATTCCTCAGTCTAGTGGTTTCGCAATGTTTGCACAATGTGGAGGAACATGACAATCACCCTTATACTGTCTGTCAGCTTGAAGCAGAAGTTGCCAACCGATGCAAGTGGCACAAAGAATTGAGCGTTGAAAAGAAAGCAAGAAACACGTGCAGTGGATAAAGACTTAAGCACAGTGACAGAGCAAATAGAGAAAATGAATAAAAGGCAGACTCAATTTCTGCCAAAATAGTATTCTGTGCTACTCTGCACAAACACACACAAGAGAGGAAATAATAATTAAAAAATGGAAGTTTTCCCCATATGATTTTCTGAATAAAAAGCAAAACTCTTAGGCTTTCAGAGACATAATATTTAGCCAGATATTACTAGCACACAAAGGAGTTAAGATCAACTACAGCACYTGTGTATATCAGAATGCAAATGACTTTTGTGACGTTTGTATGAAGGCACTAAATTGGAGCCAGACTGTCTGGCTGTTGACTTTTGTACCAGGCTGGTCCATCTACTGGAATGCCTCCTGGGAGACTAGGTAAAAATAACCTGAGGGAACCAATATTTATGTGTTTTGACAATGAGAAAAGCATGTCAGTGTCTCAAATAAAACTCCAAAAGCTCCATTATCCATTAGTGAAAGAAAACTATTTAGTATCATCCAGGAAGGTCATATTTCAGCAAAATGTGTTTAAAATCTTCTTYTTYTTTTTTTTTTTTTTTTAGAAAAGAAATACAAACAGACCAAAGTATTCTATATAAATCTCAGAAGACAGAGAGATGAACAGACGGACAGATTCAATTTGACATGATTTTATCTTCAGAAGAAACAAGGAAGCAAGCAATCAAAATATGTGAAAAACAGAGATTAGATTTTCAGCACTGTCCAGAACAGCCTTACAGTTTCTTCTGGGGGGGTGGGGGGGAAGTAGAAATGCTAAACACTAGCATATTTTAGCTTACACATTCCTACTCTAAGCAGGAATCTCAAATTTAAATTCAGTGGACTGCTACCTTAGACAATGATGAGGTGAATGGACAGCACATTTAGAGGTCATGAAAGATATGGTATCTATATGAGGGGACAAAAGCATGTTTATAAGTGAATTTGGGAATGTYATCGTGGGCTCTGGCAAAGTTTTCCTGTTTAATGACTTGTTTTAGGACAAGCACAGGGTGAGCAATAGCAAGCTTTGGTGCCCTTTATAGATTCCTTTGTATCTGGAAAATACGAAGTTTAGGTGATATTGCTGGCAACTTCATGTTGTTAGGTCTTCAAAGAAAAGTGTCAAAATGTGATCATCAAGTATTCTTCTGAATTTTTTACTTGGAGATCACTGCCATGATTTCTTAATATTAGAAATGCAAATGCTCCGAGGAAGATAAAAATTCAGCTTAATCAACTTAAATCAGTGCAAATAGCTGGAATACAATGAAACAAAGAATACACACTGTTCACGAGGAATAAGGATGTATCTCAAAAACTTCAACAGAGGATGATAGGCTCCTAACACATGTCCTGTCACATCAACAATCCTTAAAAGTTCAGCACAACAGAAAACCAGTATCTGCCAACTGGTGCTCAGCTGCAAAAATATCTGCCACAGAAGTCATAATATAACTGTTCAAATACCGAAGTTCATAATTTTCTTAATGCAATAAATAATTAAAAATAGAATGTTTGAAGTTTAGTTTAGTTTCCAGTTTAGTTTAGTTTCTAGTTTAGGTAYTAGAAATTATGAAGTACATGAACAAATGAGATAAACCACGAGAAATGCTGTCAAAGAGAATCTTGATCATAACAAACATATAATTCATTTTTTATTTATATTAGTCAGTACAGTAAAAGAAGCACAACATCATCCAAGTCGGATGGGCACCCACAGGTCAAAAAACAGCCAGGCACACAGTCTTCTTCTGCTAAGTTTTATATTTTCATTTTGTAACAGAACCTAAACCATTACTGTGAAACACCACTGTTCACCAGACTTCCATCAAGAACCTCATTCTTAYGATGACCCAATTTTCCTTACAATCAAGAGACTTCAGTCTAGAATATGACCTTGTTTACWGATTGAAATCATACACAAAAAGGCAAGGGCCACCTCTAAAGAGGTCATGCGTCCCAAATTGACTGGGGTTCAGCTGTGCTACCTTCTCCATCTAGAATGTCTAACCTCTTTAGGCACTTAGGTTTGGACACATTCCATCTAAGTTAAGACAACACATCAATGGCATGATAAAATTAGACAGCTTAGTCTTGTAGACTTTCATCATCTTCCCTTGCCTAATACCTCTGCCTATAAAAAATATAAGTTCAATCTATAAGCTGTGAGATAAGAAAGTACAACGTATATTTGAGCTGCACTGCTAAAGTCTTCTTAACAAATTCCTCAAAAATATAGGCATAGGCAAGAAGAAAAAGTACTATTAATTTTACTATCTGCAGGAATTAATACACTTGCTTGTTTCCACAGGTGTGGCAGATCAGCAGAAAAAAATAACACTTTATTTAATAATTCCTCTCCTTTTGTTTCATGATTGCTCATCATGTTGCTGATGTTTAGCTTATACAAACCAACTTTATTTGCTGCCATTACTACTACTGGTTATTATGCCGTTACTCTTCTAAAGACTTTGTATTAGTTATAGGAAAAGATGAGTATTTATAAAACAGTGTTAGAGGGATTTTTTCAAATATATCCACTGATAATTAAGGGAGAAATCATCTGAAATTACGTCTCTGAGAGACATATTCTGAGTTTTCATTTTTTGAGAGCTTTCAGAATTACRTATAAGTGCTTGAAGATTATAAAATGTGTTCTGATATTTAAAACTTTGTATTAAAATTAATTTAAGTTTTTGATCATTTACATGGTGAGAAGTCAAAGAACATAACATCAGACACAAGCATCCTAAGGGCATAATCATATCACAGGGATGAAAGAAATGACTCAATCTGTGGGACAATTCAGCAAGTCCTCTGGTGACTATATGGGCTACACTGAAAGGTGACATAAATGTTCAGGCTCATGTTCCTCTCTTGTTTTGATAGGTATAAGTTAGAAATGGTTCTGAAAAAGTTACTGTTGCTATAGTGTTTGAAAAATAGCAGAAGAGGAATTTTTTGAAAGGTCTCAAATGTGTACTGATTTGGCACTGTGAAGTTGCAAAACAGGCAAGCATGTTTTTTCAAGAGATGATTAAGTACACTCATCTTAACATTCCAGAAAAGCAGCTTTTTGTGTGGGCCTCTGAGTTTTCGTATTACCTTTCTCTTTTCATAAGCACAAACAGCTGTCTACTGAAACACAGAGGACTGGCCCATCAGTGGTTATAAAATGCAAACTCTTCCTTAGGAGATTTCTAAAGCACTGACTGTGGAGGTTGATTGTGGAAATTCTTTCTATAATGTCCTGTTTCTCACATGCATTTCTTCAGCATCTGAATCCATCTGGGTTAAGAGACAGGAAACTTAGGAAAGTAATTTAGCCCTTCCTCTGATATCATATGGACACAGAAATCTTCTTAGAAAGAAATGCCTCTGTATTAATTACACTTGAGCTGGGCAACACCTAGAAAACCTTCCATATCCCCATGTGTGCATATCAACATCCTGTGCCCAGTCCTTTATTCATTAACAGAAAGATGCTTCACAGGAGTGGGTTCTTGGCCATTTTCTCTCACACACACGTACATGCAAAACAAACCGCTCCGAGGATGGTTCTCATCCCACAATTTGTGAGCAGCTCTGCCATCTCAGACATCAGTGCATTTATATTATCATGGGTATACTTAGACAGAGGTGACAAAAGCAGAAAAACATCAAGAATACCAAAAAAAAGTGTACCTTTCCACATCCTCTGAAGTTTCACAGCAAGAGCCTTATGGACTTCTCTGTGATGTCTTTGTTCACCTTCCTCCCTGTCCATTTTCTTTTCCTCCATATATTTGTATATTCCTACTTATATTCTTCATTTTATCCAGACTTTAAATTTTACCCTTTTCAACAGCCCATTTCTGCTGCAACTCACTTTYCCAACCAACTCTTTCTCCTCGGTCTTTTATCCCTTGCCCAAAGAGCCATTCCTCCATGCTCAAACCTGCACTGAGCATCACAGGAGCCTCAGTGGTCAACCAGCTGAAAAGCTCCTGCTTCTTCAGATCGGCTCTGCTTTTCTTGCCTTTGCTCTTCTCCTGCTGCATTGTTGCTCACTGCTGCATGACCTGAACTCCCTTTGGGTCTGATCACAAGGCAGATGAGGACAACTGCCTGGCTGGTAGAGGGATTTACTCCCCAGCATTACTCATCCCAAAGCTAGCCAAGGGAACCAGAGATTTGATGAAAAAGCTGGGGAGTCAAAAAATAACATCTCCAGCTGGCATGTAAACAGCTCGCTCTCTCACTTATTCATACTGATTCATCAGTTTTCTTGTAAATTCACCAGTTGCTTTCCTTCTTAAATTCCAATTTATTTGTTCTTTTTTTCCTCTCAGCATTCATATATCATCATTATAAAGTTGTTATCACCCTGCAACATCTCTGTAGGGTTTCAGGAACCTCATTCTTATTCCTCTAGGAAGTCTTCCCTCTGCTTCAGCCCTGCCTCATACATTGCTTAGGATTCTGTGTCTCGTTTCTTAGCTTTTCACGTTAACCTTCTGAAAATGGATTTTATTGTATGCCTTATCCTCTACTTACTCTCGAACTATTATGAACAGCAGAAATAAAAAATACATACAGGTCAGATAGTTACAATGCAGTCAACTAACAGAGAATTCACAGGTTACATACCTTGCCATACTTCTGTGCATAGGATCCTGTAAGCAACGAATGAAAAACTATGATAGTTTCATCCAAATCCCAAACAAATACACGCTGAAAAAAGAAGTGGTGACAACATTAATTCACAGAAACTTCAAGGCCCTCCTCCTGCCAGGGGCCAAAATCAACACATGTACTAAACTTTAATTGTTTGATCAAGCAGGTTATCTCTGAACATCATCAGGAACAGTGTATAAACAGTATTTATTGGTAAAAAAGTTAGGACGGTAGCATTTTCATTGCTCAACAAGCTCTTATTTTTACTTTAAAGAGTTTTTCAAATTAAACTGCAAAACACAGATGTTAGAAAGCATGACTATTTATTTAAGGATAAATAGTTCTCTCAGCTACCACTGTGCAAATCTTAGACTCAAGGTTCTTTTTGTTTCTCCTGTATATCTAATATTAAGATATGCCATAAAGAATATACAAAGTAAGTAATATTTAAAATGGATTATTCTAGTTTAAAAAAAAAAAAAAAGAATGATCAGGGATTCGTGTTCATTTTTTACTAGTAATCTATAAAAGAAACAGGAAAACTAAGATATAAAAAGGTATAATGTCTTCACTCGACAAGTTAAAGAGTAGGAAAAGTCAAAAAAATTAAATAATTTCTGTACGTAATGACACACATAATTTCTGTACGTAATTTCTGTATATAATGACACCTAGAGCCAGTGCTTAGCAAGTGTACCCCATGTAATATCCAGAGATGTTCAGTGAACACCCAGGCAGTGAGGCTGGCCAGGCTCCTGGCACTTACAGCCGCTCTCATGGCAAGAGGAGACATAGGAGACACACACAGACAGCACACTCCTTCAATGCCACGACAAAAGTGTTTCACACATCTATATGCTAAGGAACTTTCTCCTCCTGTCACAGTCAGGCTGTATCCTGCCAACACTGGAGTACTAAGACTATTAATTACTTCATCACTAAGAGTTCACCTGTCACTCAGTATATTAGGCAGATAAACTTCACTAAGGCTCTGTTTTTGCACATAAAGTATAGCCATTGCTTCACTGATAAGAGCTACCTCATTGAAATGCTTGGCGTTACTCATGAGCATAAAGGCAAACTTGCACTTAAGTGTTTGAAACGTTATGGCTAGATAACATTGCATATTTTCTCCTCATTCATAAATAAACATAATTATGGTGAATAATACATGAGACTTTCTCTTAAAAAAAAAGATAGTTGTAACAACTTTGAAGACAAAGTTTTCAGTTTTGTAGTCCTATTGAATGAGAAACTGAGAAAGACCACAGTGTAGGGCTACAGAATGCAGAGATGAATCACCTTTATTCTTCTATTTAACCTTCTCATACAGAAAAGCACTGTGTCATTGTATGTGTGCATTAAAATTGCCAAGATCTATTATATTCAGTTGAGAAAAGTGTCAATGCTGCTTTCTGAAATGCTCTAAGCTGTTTCCATGGCTGTAATTTGCAGAATTTACTTTCTATCAGAAGAAACCACCACATCATTACCATACAAGGCATACCTCCAAGTCACTGTCCGGAGGGGGTGATGGATTATTCTTCCGCCCTCTACCCCGGGACTTTGACCCAGAACTCCTACATGTTCTCTCATCAAGATCTTTGATTGGTGTGGAAGGACTCTGTACTGTGTCAAACTCCCCTGTAAAGTCAACCATTCATGAAAAAATTAATGCCATATTTTAAAATAAGAAATACACTGTTTAAAGTGGCTCTATTTGGCAACTTGACCACAAGACACACCCAACTAAGTTGCAAGAAAAACAGTGATACACGCAGGTATGTGCAAAATATTGATATATCCATGGGAGATGTATTTTACAAGTCATACTAAAGACATTCCAAAACGTCATGTGATTTTTAGTTAAGTTTTTGTTTGTTTGTTTGTTTTTTGTTTGTTTGTTCCTCATGTTTAGAGTTCAGTTGGACTTATTTTCAAGTACCATGTTATGTTTACAGAACATACCCCACACTGGAATCATCTTCCTCCTCCTGTGCCATCTGCTCCTTATTAGAGTACACTTCTTAATTTTTTAACCATATCTTGACCAATTAAATTATTGAACAGTAGATTTGAAACAAAAAAAAGAAGTATTTTAACAAACTGTATAGTGTGATATTATGAAACTGAGCAAAAGTTAAGAACAAAAAAGATTCAAAAACAAACTCCATAAATTGGCAGAGAAAAGTCTCAATGTTGAATGCAATGTTTCAGATGCTATAAGAAATAGGACCAAGTCATACTTGCTGCTTTCTAACCATCCTTCTCTAAGGATGATTATCAGCTACTGTTTGCTGTCAGAGAAAAAAAATTTTGAGATAGATTATTGATCTGGCATGGCAAGTTTGCTCTTAGCACACAGATTTATCTCTGACTTACACTTTAACCTGCTTTGCCTCTTTAGTAACAAATGTCTATGGAACTGGTCACCAACCAATATCAAGGTACAACAGACAGACTGGAGAAAGTGCTGCCCAGGAAGAATGGAGAAGAACTTGCCCTAATATAGCATTTTTATGACATAGCTCAGTAACCATAAATGACTGCAAAAGTATTCATGATGGCACATCTTCAGAATAAATGAATACTCAAGATTAATAATAAATTAATAATAATTTAAAATATAATAAATGAATAGAATCAATAGAATAAATGAATACTCAAACCATCCAAAATACATCTCATTATGAGCTTTAATGTGATATTATTATTATTATTATTATTATTATTATTATTATTATTATTATTATTATTATTATTATTATTAAAGAGTAATTCACAGCGGACACCGAAGTTCACTAGATGAACTTTGGAAAACAAACTCATGTTATGACTGAATTTCCTTTTCTATAAGTAACAGCTACATAAGCCAATGAAAATTGCAGTCCAAAGGAGATAACTAGGTCATACACATCACAATAAACACTAGTTCTAAGTTTAATTGTGGAAAGAAGCATTCTGAAGCATTTTGAAGTCTTCCAACCACAGAAATCCAAACAGTCTAGCATGTCAGTAATAGTGCTTTGAGGTTGACTATAAGCACACACAGGTTCTTCACCACTACACTGACCACAGACCACTGAAAATCAGAAGGCAACTTTATGTTCAGCACTGGCTTATATTGATGAGAATCCTAACTCATAAAGATATTTTATGATCCCTCTTTGTCCATGGACACAACAGTAAGTTTCACTTCCATTGATTTTAGACTGGCCTTCAACATGGTCCCCCATAGTATTTCAAGGATACCAGATAGGTGTATTAGAAATTGGTTAAAAGAATGATTGGGCTTTGAGTGAAAGGGACAGACTGACAACAAAGAATATTCCCATCCCATATATATATATATATATATATATATATACACACACAAAAATCATAGTGAGAGTGCTTAAGCACTTGACATTGTTCAGCACTTCCTCAGGGTTGATACTGGGACTCATAATGATTAAAGACTCCTTCAGTGATCTGTACAAGGAGACAGAATACACCCTCAGCAGTTTTAAGATGAGGAAGCAGTTCATAAGTTGAAGGTCAACACTACCATAGAGAGGGACTTCGACAGGCTGGAGGATTGGATTGACAGATATTTCATACAATGAAAATATATTTTAAATATAAAGAAGTCTTGAATCAAAGATGGAATAAAATATGCAATAGCAGAGGCTGCTGACTGTCAGCATCAGCTCTGCACAAAACAGCCTGAAGATCCTGATGCATTCGTTCTGAACATGGGCCAGAAGATCAAGAGAAGTGTTGTTTGTTTGTTTTATACTCCATTCTCTTGTGTAGAAGACAATGGTCCTAATCTTCAATGAAACAGGAAGAAATTAAGTCTGTGTTCCTCACTTCCTGGGAAAGCAGTTAATTCTGTTATTGCTAGAAGGAGATATTGCTATTTTACTCTCTTGCAAAACCACTATGCTTCTTTGCTTATGCAAGATAGACGCAAAGTTTCCGGCAGCATCTAAGAAGAGATTTTAAGAGCTACAGCTTAAGAAGCCATTCCAGATACTGTTTAAGGTATATATGTCCTGATTTGCATATGACTCATATGTATTCTTTAGTGTTGTACCTTTACTATAAAACTCTCATGTGTCAAGAAATGATGAGGAAAATACATCAATTTTATTTAATAATATATAATGAAAAATGATCCTGTGAAGTTTTCACTTTGTCCCTAAATGGGAAATGGAGAGAGAAGGTTCTTGTTGACTAATCACTTCTATTTCCAGCATAGTGTTATGTCAGTAAGGACACTGCAGACAGTAGAGAGATCAATAAGGTCACATTACATTAGTTCTTTCTCTATAAAGAGAACAGCAAAATATACTTTGCACAGAAAGATATTTCATAACTAGATTTCCCGTGCAGCAAAAAACAACACTGACTTCAAAGTGATTATGCAAGACTTAGGTGCAAAATTATAATTTTCTACTTTTTCTGATAAAGTGGACAAAAAAACAGAAACATAAATAAAAAAATAAATAACTGAGTAAGCATGAATTATTTCATTCTTACCATAAAAGTTCTCATATTTATAAAATTATACCATCTTACAACACAATCAAAAGTCATTTATATACTAATGCATTAAAACATCTGTTCTCAATGACTGTGTTTACTCTAATCTGCAAAAAAAATATATAACAAACCTCGTTCTAAATCTTCTCTGAAGGTGAAGTAAATAACTTTAATTTTCATTCAGCATTAGTCATTCCCAGTTGCCCCAGGCTTCTACTTGGATCAACACTGTGTATGATTGTGTAATTATCCATTAATCAGTGCTGTAACTAACCACTGTACCTTGTCAGTTCTAGATATTTAAAACCAAATTTATTTCATTAAGCAAATCTCTAAATCAAAATGACCAACTGTATCTTACTTGAATGCAAAGTATGCATCTATTTTAGAACTGCAGAAGTCAGTAGAGCATATCTTTTTGAATAACTGTAGGCTTAATTGCATAATTTGCTTTTTATCAACAGTAGGCTAAAGTAGTAACTGCATTTTCTTATCCTGAGTTTGTTTTCAAAAATCTGATTGTCAATGCTGGTGAAAGAAAAACTTTTTAGAAGTTGACCCATGTATATCATAAAAGAAAGTACATAAGAAATTCCAGCACCAGATAATACTGAAAACCCTAACCTCATAATTCATTCCTAGAACAGCTTGTGTTAGACACCAAGTTTTATTATCATGTTTGATATTTTCTGTCTTTTTCATCATGCAACATTCATATACTTCACAAACATCACTCACTAGAAATATGGCAGAATCACAGATTTAATAAATAAAAAGGAAAATGTTAAAACTTAAACACATGAAGCTTTCATCTAGCTTTCCTACAGATCTGTCTTCTCTGCTAGAATTTTATCTGCTCTAGATTAAATATATATAGGTACTCATCTCCTGAGGCAGAACCCCTTAATGATTTATCTGCCATCCCAGGATGGGGAGAGCTACCTTTGAATAGATCTACTTCTCTGCACACAGTTACCTTCTGTTAATTAATGCATTTTTTACATTTTTTTTTTTAAGGACAGGTATGATATAAACACTGAAAATTCATCCACAGAAAGGTTCAGAAGTAGGACCCAACACAGAGGTGGTTTGATGAATGCCCAAACTCATCTTGCACTCTGTATGATCAACTTTCCTTAGATATTCCTAAAGCCACAGGATACCACAGCGAGCACCCAGAAAATGGCTTCAATATTATACCACATTTTCTATCTGCTTGTAATGTTTCTAGCTTGTTATGAATAGCAGAAAGAATAGTGTCTTTTTGAATTTTATTTTTTTTACCCAGCCGATAAATAAAATTGTAACAATTTTTAAGTCTTGAACAGATGAGGGTCAAAACAAGAAATGTTATATGTATGGGGAATATTGGAGGCTTTGATTTGTTATTAAGTAACAGCCATCAGATATAGTAAAATAGTGAAGTACCTTACTGTGTTTAAGTTTAGGTTTTAAATTACTCTAGTTAATTTTTTCCCTTGATTATAATTTACCTCTTAGCATTTTTCCTCTTCAGTTTGTACTCTATTCTAGTACTACTGATTAAGATTTTAAACTTTTATTAAAAACACAGAGATGGATGTGCATCTCTCCACATCCATACCGCACTACAGCATCCCACAAATACACACAATTTAAAAATCAACTTGAGAAAAACATCTGGCAAGAAAGAATGTCAGCTCATGTCAGCAGTTGAAGTTTTAAAACTATTTAGCAAATTTAAGCAGTTGGAAGTAGGTCCTTTATGAATTATGAAGTCTTGCCTACAGTTTCCTAGGCCAAGTAAAACTCTTCCTTCGTAAATATTCGTTATTATAACACTTACTACTTATTCTGCTATACTTTTTGGTGATATAGGTGTATTGTGAGAATGAGAATTGGGAAGGTTGCTGCAGTGAGTGGATTTTGTGATTAAAGCATGATTTTCTTATTCAGAGCCTGATCCAAGACCCACTGAAGTTTGTTAGTCTTTTCATAAATGGTCACAGATGTGGGTAAGGCCGACCTTACCAATGCTATATGAATGAAGCAGTGGCCTTAGAATAAAACGTTCCACCAGCACTGTCCCAGGCTGCTGGAGATATACATATATGGCACAGTACTGAGCTAGATCTTTAAGAACTTCCTAGAATAATGGGGACAATACAAGAAAGTCAGCATGATAAAGCAGCCTCTATCAAGTATACCACATTAATCTGGCTTTGTACTTTCAAGCTCCCAAAGACATACAATTGCATAATAAAATATCACAAGGCATATGCACAAGGGGGCAGAGTTGGTCAGGCAAATTTAGTCATCTGAATATGAAAGCCTTTCTTTTTGCARTTCCAAGTCTGTTTCAAATAGGTTATTTTTAAAGCGACTTGCATTAATCAGCTGACAGCTCTATTCTTAATTACCTCTTAGTAAGCGTAGCTTGTGTTTAAAAAAATTTTTTAATAAAAAAAATGGAAATAGTTAAATAACTGGAATATACTTAAATGAGCAACAGCATCTTGTTTTAAATTATTTACAGAAATATTTCAGAATATGTAGGTGGATACAGAAAACACCCTTAATTCGCCAAGAGTTTCATCAAACTAATAAACAAATTCTGAAAGTTTCTTAAAACAAAGCAGAACAGAACAGTTTTATTTTCACAGGTTTCCTTGAAAAATAATATTTTCTTGAAGGCAACAGCTTAAAACGTCAGTCCAGGCTGAATAWAGTATCATCAAAGCTGGACGAGGAAATTTGGGAGTTTTACAAGTAGAGTATAAAATACAAAAATGGTTTTCACCTGAATGCAGATCTGTACCTGGTTGACCAGTCAGGCCAGAGAGAGACTCTTGTAATTGGTAGGTTGATGATGATGATGAAGTGCCATCGGCCGTGTTGTTTGAGGTCATATATGCGCCATATGTTGATGCTGAATAATACTGTGCATATTGGTTTTGGCCAAAAGCTGTGTAGGATGGATAATCCTAAAATAGTACATGCAGTTAGCTAAATAGAGTAACASATGATTTTTCCATTAAGAAATTCTGAGGAGTTTTATTTTTTGTTTAGACTTACAAGATCTATTAACTTGAGGAGGTTTATTAAAAGACCACTAAGAGATTCCCAAAGCATTTATGTGCCAAGAGATGCAACAAGCCATCGATTGGGGTTTCCATTGCTGCTCACCAAAAGCAGTACTTAACAGTGAATCTAGTTCAGCATTAACACATCCAAATTAATATAATATGCCATCATCAGAGTTGAGTATTTCTGTAATGTACAAACAAAAGCATTGATATTCATACCTGTTGTGAGCTACTGAAGTTTGTAGAATTTGAAACTGAATTGTTTGCATAAATAGTGGATGACGGTGTAAAACTAGAACCTAAAATTAAAAAACAGATATATAATTAATTTTAAGAACTTGTTTATGAATCAAAATAAAATTCTAAATAGAACACTCCATGCTAAGACACAAATAAATCMGAGGAGAAAAAAAATACATTCTATGTAAATGATGAAACACTGTAATGAATTTTAGAAGACATGAAATATTATGTCCAGGTAAACATGCATACATTCCTTTTCATGCTATTCAAGAAAGTAGTGGAAGTAGGTCATCACACTGACCAAAATAGTATTTTTCTGATTATTATAGTCTCAGCTCTGTTCAGGTCTTTTTACACTCTCTTTTTTCTCTTCATTTATGAAGTTCATGCGTTTTAGCGCATGTTACCTTATATAACCAAAAAAACTTTTTTTAGGACTATTTTAATGATCTAGGTGTTTTTAATAGATCTGTAGTGAAGCATGTCCATGTTCTTGACATGTCAGATGATTAATATTGTAATTTGTATTACTTAAAAGATTAACCGTCGTATTAGAAACTAAGGAAGCCTCCAAGTAAAACAGCGCACTGATGATCAAAAGGTAATAAATGAACTAATAATTGACTAATAAAGAAAAATAAAAATATGCATTAAGGAGAAATTCTAATACATTATCTAATCCAAAAGGAAACAAGCTTCAAATGATGTCACATGGCATGTGTTCCCTAATAAATAAAAAATACTTCCAGTCCTGCTGTGTGATTTCACCCCATAAAAACTCAAAGTGCAAATGGGACTGCGCAGTATGACTAGATCTAAATTAAGAGATCTGCAAAGAAACCCTCATTCATGGATATTAATCATGGAAAGTAATTCTGAGTCTTAAATTCTAGAAGTAACTGCAAATGATAAGCATATTTGTTAGAGTTCACAAAAAAATGAACTGATAATGGACTGTAAATGTAAGTGAGCAGCAGGCCAGCAGCAGTAGGTGAAAAATCCTCAACTATTGCCTTTTTTCAGTCCCACTGATATGACTGGAACAACAATATTCTGTTCCACCTACTAGTTTGGCATTTCTCTCTGCTCAATTTTCACCAACACTGAGGGTGAAACGTGAGTGTTGCCCAAGTCACACGCAGACCTACTGTCTTCAACTGCCAGCATTACATTTCCCTTTGTTCTGAAACAAGTCCCCAAAGGTTTTCAGCAAGTTTGCGTGTGACACTCTTGAAATGTGAGCAGAATATTACTTTATTTTTAAAATCAAAATTTGAGGTTCATGCTGCTGYTTAAAAATTGTCAGAGATGAGATTTTTGAAAATTATTAGAATCCTTAAATACACTATTGACACCTTGAGGCATTTTTAGGTACATCAGAGTAAGATGCCTAGATCCCACCAAAATTGATTGGAATGAATGACAGTTAGGTACTTCATGTTTRAGTATTCTGGAAAATGCTATTAAATGTTCATTGGCATCTTTCAGATACCTTTGAATATAGGTACTTAGAGGTTAAACTCGGGTATTCTAACACAAAGCATCCTAGGAAAAAAGGATGGGGGGACACACGACAGTTATGGATACTTACCTGGCATTTGATAAGAGTAYGGTGTTTGGCCTGGCTGTGGGGTGGAAAACCCTGGGCTGTAACTGAGGCACCCGCTCTGCAGTGGTGACTGTGTCTGCGAGAGCCCACTTTCCGTCTTGATGCCTGGCAACATTACACCCAAATCTGTGTGAGAAATCAATTTTCAACTGATTCTTTAAAATATCTTCTCACAGTTGGGAAAAAAAAAATAAAATAATAAAAAAAAAAAAAGCAAGGAATGCTCATGTCAGCATTGCTCTTACTTTTATGTAAGGTGAAGTAAATAATAAAAAGGCCAAATACCATAGGTAGGTAAGCTGTATGGCTGTCCTGTCTGTGAGTAGGCTGTATACACCGCTGGCTGCTGCATTCCTGAATACTGGGTTTGTCCGGCATAGGCAGACATTGTTTGAGCTGCTGGTGTAGAAAGAATGTGTGGATAGGGCCTAAATATCAGGAAAAATAGCATTACTGTGGCAACAAATACTTTGCATGTTGATTCAAGCAATAAAGTAAAGAAAAAGGTTCAAAGATGTCCAAAGGCAGTTCATTATTCTGCCAACTGTTCCTCTTACGGGATTCATTCCAACCCCCATTGAAGCAAGCTGAAAACCACTCTAGCTCACATTCCCCTAAGCACTGTATATATTTTGTGCTGCCCCATCACTACAATTTAATTCCTGAGCTATGTGTCCAGCTCCAGTTAGACTGTGCCATTGCTAATATGTCTTTACATGACTTTGACCCCTTCAGAGCCAAGATCAGCAAGCTTAAATCAAAAAAGATCTCATGCTTTTTTAATCCAGTTGGGGGGAAACTTGGCCCAACATACAAGAGTGGAAGAAAAAAAGAGAATTCAGAGGTGAACTTTAAAGCTACTACATTATGTCCTCTAGGTATGGTTCTGCTTCAATAGAAATCTAGCATCTGGCTTTGGTGGGAGATGGATCACGCTCACAGAGAGCAGTATGAAAAATATTGACAGCAATACTTTGTTAACCAGATGGACTTTCAACATTTGGAAAATATGGGCTAGGGAACTAGAATGGAAATAAAAATGGTCTTTTATTTATAAATACTGAGGTTTTATAGAGAGATTGAATAAAATCAAGTTTAAAATTTTTGCCCTCCAGAGTTGCAAAAACATACAGAGAAACATTTGTCTTGGATTGTTTTGTAAGTCAAATAAGATTTTATGGACCAAGAGTTGAATAAACACACTCTGCAGAATTACACTAACTGAAACCTGGCCATTAAAAGCCATGACTAAATTTCAGATTCTAATTTATTTTTCTTTTTTTTTTCTAATTAGTTCAGTACAGTTGGCAACAGTTAATATCAGAAAAGGATTACTCATTAATTTAGATGCCAGTAAATTATTACAGTAGATTAAAAATTCTACTAGACCTCGTAATATATCTGGCCAAGAGTACCTGACATGGTCAGCCAAAACTTGTTTTAAGTGGAGTAAGTAGGACTGTTCTTAGTTCAGGAGTTTATTTTCTGTATCTTGGCTATATCAAGATACAAATATAAATTTGTTAAAGAAAACTGCAAAAGTCTAATCAGTTAAAGTTTCGGTGTTTTCTCTGTATCAAATTCCAAAGCCACTTAAGTAGCTCGATCAAATATGCAGGAAGAAATAAATGGCATACTGAAATCAAGCACCCTTGTGCACAACACTGATCATAGGACATGCAAATAAATGTGCATATAGACTGCCAACAACAGAAGTATCATATAACATCTTCAGTGCTATTCATTAAGTTCCTACTCCTGGATTCATGTAACTGACTAAGAGACTGTTTTCCTCCAAAAAAAATGAAAGAAGGTCCTAACAATGCACACTGGTTTAAAAGTCATAAATCAGATTAAAAGGTAATCCAATTTTATTTATTTGATTTTTAAGTCTTTTGATATTGGAGAAAGAAGAGGAAAGCTTGGTTCATAACCCTGACATTCTTGGAAGTACTTGGCAGTGCTGGTACTGGGAAGGTCTACATGAGCATGGCTACTTTTAATGCATTTTGAGCATGCAATTGCAATTTTTATGTATTAACTGTCTACTTTAACATATGCATTGTCAGCACAGTGAAGATGCTGATATCTGAGAATGTGAAGATCTCTTTTTTCCCTCTACTTCATGCAGAAATTCAAGGATACATCTTGTGCAGTAATACCTTGTTGCACAGAATAGGATTTTATTCTGCAACCAACTGAGAAAAAAATGTGAGTGAATGGTAATRCAGACAGTACTGGGGTTTAACCATTTTCCTCTCCCTTTTTTTCTTTCTTCTCTTGAAGCACATTTCCTTTCAACAAACCACAGAATTGCCTAGAGCCAAGATCAAATCCCTCTAAAGGCTAGAAGAGGTGCAGACACTAACTTGGAGGGATATAGCTGAGAAGAGTACTGATGTGCTGATCTTGGACTGTAGCCGCTACTTGTTATTACTGCAAAACAGAAAACAAGAATACAACACTTAAAAATATCATGAAACGCAGATAAACATTCTAAATACTAATGAGRTTGCATTATGAGAAAATGTCCTTGAAATAGAACACCTTTCAATTAGGTAGGTGCCATCTGACCTGTGACACCTTAATACAGAAAAATAAAACACAGCAAATTCACAAATCATTCGGGTTGTTGAGACCTTTTTTCTTGGTATCAACATATAGCTGTTTTTAAGCTTGACTTGTTATTTATGGGTAGATTGGAGAGTCATATGCTTCATACATAATCTGTGATACACTATAGATCTTTGAAATTTGCAAGTTATATTAAAATTGCTATTTAAAAAGAATCTTGTCATTCAACATACAGTACTATATGGGATTGAAATAGCATGCATATAAGTTTAAATTCTCACATTAACAAGCTTAATTTCAATACTGGACAGGAAAAATATATTTTATTAAAATGTGATTCCAGCAGTGATAGAAGATACTAGACTGACTCTAGTAACTGCCTAGAAAATCAATTTCCCTCCTTATAAGCAGGCTGATTAGAATACAGGCACTAACAACAATATTTTTACTTCAAATGTAAGCATAAACAGTCCTGTACRGCAGCCATCAAAATTACTTTTGTCTATACTGTTAACAGCTGCATTCTTCCAAGAAAGCTAACAGAATGATAGTCATATCCCATTAAAATTTCATTCAGAAGCAGAGTTCACASTGGATTAATTCCAAGTGTTTGGAAGTTTTTTTTTTTTTTCCTTTAACCATCTGTCTTGACAAAGACAGATGTATTCCAAATATATGTAGTCTAAAGTGTTGAACCAATCCCTTCAGAGCAAATCCATACTGGGCAAACATACAGAGTGTCTTTATTAGGCCATCTGCTGTTCATTCACTTTTCAAAAGATTAAAGTAGTACACAATGAAGCACTGGAATTTCTTTAGTCTAATCAATCATAGTTGTACTTCAAAGTATAGCCTCTTCCTGAGTTTGTAATGGTAGTAGAAATGAACTTTCAGAATTATATAAGTGACAAATAGGTTTAAGTTCCTAACTATTTTATGAAATACGATATAATTCTATATCCAGATCTAGCTAATGTCTCTGCAATTTATTGCTTTGAACACACACAGAACTTCATATTTTTAAAGCCAGTTTAAATACATTTAGAGCATTAGAGCATGCAGGCTTCAGAAAGAAAATACAGTAGAAAGAAAATGATTAGTTTCTTTTTTTAAAGATGTGGAGTATAAGGCCTGAAAATAAAGAACTGGATAACACTTTTTTTAAACATGTGTCACCAGATTTAATAAAAAGAGAAGATGGCTGAAAAGATATTAAAGGGTTTTCCTGTAATGGAAATCTGCTGAATTTATATTCTCCATGTAGATGTTCTTTCTTCTGTCTCTCAACGGTTTAAGTTTGATTTGCGGATTTGCCACTAAGAGTGCATAAAGCTGTTCTTGGATACAGGTGAACTTCAGAGCTGCATGAATCAACATAAAAAGTCCATAAAGCTCTAAATGATCCTCTTATTTGTTCAGTTCTAGAAGAGCAATTGCTCCTCCCTGTTGTATCACTGTGACCTTTCTGAAGACAAGCATTCATTAATAAAGCAACTTGGGCTATTTCTCAGGACAAGGAACTTGCATGATCCTTTTTCAGGTTATCATTTTTTTCTAACCATAATGATGTATGTTTTGTGTATCATTTGCTGAATGACTCATCAGTTGATTAATCAATTTGGGTAATGCACATCTACTCTTCTCTTACAGTGAATATAGAAAAGGAATGACTTTTCAACTGAATGTTTTCCAGCAAAAAGTGTAATGCAATATAAAATACGCCCTCTTTTTTTACTCTTTACCCGTACACATTATTTCATAAATTCAAGCAAGAAAATAAAGTATTTTGGGAAAGGTGTCTTCCTTTAAAAATTTCTGTTTCTTTCAAGCTACTTAATGACACTATCAGTTGTCAGCAAGAGGCAGAAAGAATTGTCAAGTGCCCCAAAAGTAAACTATTTTTCAAGTGAAAAAAGTCTTTTCCATTCTCTTTTTTTCTGATAATATGTCTCATCAATTTGTGCACAACATTTTAGACTTAAGATATTAGGAAAACATGGCAATGTTCTCATTGTGTGAACATTGTGTGTAGAGCCTTTGGACTGATCCTGTGTGCCATACCTGAGACCGGTAATTCTCAAGATTACTGAACTTAAAGAGATTTCACTGATGTATATCTTCCCAATCCTACTTTTCTTTTGGTGGGGAGGAATGACAATGGAAGAAAAGGTGGAAGGGGATTGCTATGTTTCTTTTAACTATATTACTTAATATAAACAGTTCATAAGAATAGAGATAGATGCCGTTTTCTTATTTTGATCATGCTGAAAACAAAGCTCAAATACTCTACAAATTCATTATATAAATTTTCCAAAGGTTTCCAAAGCTCTGAAAAGCTCAAATACTTCTACAAATTCATTATATAAATTTTCCAAAGGTTTGATCTTGAGGGGATGATAAAAGACCCTTGATTTCTTTGTACAAATCCATCAAGCTGCACACTTCTGGAAAAAAATATTACAGTCCATGTGTGCTGTATAAGGGTGTGATAGGGATGTTTGTAGGTAAATTCCCTTTTCACTGAGTCCACTTTCTCTACAAACTGCAGTTTCTGGCTGATGTGTTCCCTATAGGGTTTCTGCACTCTTCAGCTATGGGGAGATAAGAGTTTCTAGGGCAAAACATACAATGTGGAGATTAAGAAATAGGAATGAGGGATTGGTTGGAGGACAGATGTATAAGAGATAGTGTGTTGGGCTGGAGGTCTGAATATGCTGGTGGAAACAGGATAAGGCCTGAAGGTACTGGCTGGAAAAAGAATGTCTACCATGGTCATATGAGATGGAGAAATGAAAACTGTGAATGTGATAGAACAGGATAGAGGGAAAAAGATGTGGAGAAAAAGCAGCAGTACCAGTGCCTTTGAGGCACATTGCTAGCTACAGCCTGTCAGAGTTGAGGCTCGCTATGGTGCCCAGGGTATATTCCAGTCCCAAATAATGTTGGTCTACAGAGGGGGTGTCAAGGTAACTGACAGCTCTTAGCAGTTATTCCGCTAGCTCAAGTGACAAGGGTGGTTGTGAAGAACTTATATGACCGTACATCATGCGATGACGATGGCGAGTGTTCAATTCAGTATAGTCACATGCTGGAATATCTTATTTTTCCATTACACATCTGGAAAATTCTGTGCAAGAAGACTAGGTTAAGAGGATCTAATTTAAATAATGAATCACTATGTATAAACACAAGGCAACCATAGGTTGCACAGCAATGACATTTCCTAACATCGCCTTTATATCCTTCATATTTCTTTTTGATATTCTTTTTGTGTRTAATAAATTCTAAGTAGAAAAGATGATGGGAACTTCAAATGTCTCCCTCAGCTCCATTAAAATGATAAAATTCTCAGACTAATTCACTATTCTAAGCAACTTAAGTACAAAAATGCATGTGTTAATGATACTTGAGTTAAAGCAAATTCATAGCATTTGAAAAGTCTCAGTTTAAGACCGATTGCAGTTCTTCACATCCTGTAAATATCCACCCTAACAAGAATTCACTACAGGATCACAAAGACTCAAATCATAGGATCATAGTATCATAGAATCAATAAGGTATGAAGGACCTTCAGATATCATCTAGTTAAACCTCCCTGCACACGCAGGGTCACCTAGAGCACGTGGCACAGGGCTGCATCCAAGCAGCTTTTGAAGATCTCCAGAARAGRAGACTCCACAACCTCTCTCAGCAGCCTGTTCCAGTGCTTTGTCACCCTCAGTGTCAAGAAATTTTTCCTTAAGTTCTTGCAGAACTTCTGGTGCTTCAGTTTGTGGCCGTTTCCTCTAGTTCTATCACTGGCCACCACTGAAACGAGACTGGCCCCATCCTCCTCACTCCCTTCCTCCTTAATGTTTTTCTATACACTGATCATGTGCCCTCTCAGCCTTCTCTACTTCGGGTTGAACAGGCCCATTCTGCCCTTTCCTCATAGGSCAGATGTTCCAGGTCCCTAATCATCCTTGTAGCCCTGTTCTGGACTCTTTCCAGAAGTAAGTTCCACGTTTCTCTTGTGCTGGGGAGCCCGTAACTGGGTGGAGTACTTCAGATGCACCCTCACCAGGGCTGAGCAGAGGGATGGGATCACCTCCCTCAACCTCCTGGAGATGCTCTTWATATATCCCAGGATCCCATTGGCCTTCTTGGCCACAAGGGCACACTACTGCCTCATGGTCAACTCATTGTCCAAATACAATATACTGAGATGCAGTATATTGTACAACTGCAAACTGTCATTCTTTGAARAAAAGGAGGAAGGCTGGTGCACAAAATGATTTCTCTGCCTTCTTAACCCATGCTAATAGACAAATATTTGTATTTTCCAGAGGTAACGTCACAGAGTGATGAAATCTTAGCTTTGAGTATGAACTGCAGGACTGCCTGGGTGAGACCACTGGGACAACTTAAATTTAAATGCATTAGATCCACATGGTTTATTTTTCAGCTTAAAAGTTGCTTTGTGATAATTCATATATCAGTTTTCTTACTTAGGGCATTCAATTTACACTATGAATCACRACTTAAATCTAGAATATTCAATATAAAACTGCAGGTTTATCATCATGAAATCTTAAAGTCAGCATGTCCAGGTATTTCTGAATAAAAATACCAGGGAAAGCAACTAGCGTAAGTTCCACAGCTGCAGAGTTTATCCATGAAAAATCAGTGTGCATCAGCTGCCTGCGAGGTCTAATGGGTCTCTCCTGCCATATATCTTGCGCACATCTTCACTTTCTGTACTAAAGCRGATCATCAGGTACAGAGCTGGCTCTAACTTATATCCTGGAGTGCTTGTTCAGCCTCCCACTCAGCTTTAGGAAACATCATAGAGAGAGACAGAAATATCATTTGAGCATGAAAATAAATTCTAATAGGTAGAATATTTGAAGGAAAGAAATTCTGCATGGCAAGACTCTCAAAAGTGTCCTAGGACTATGAGGTCTGTTTTCACCYACATCTCACAGATGGGAATGACACATTTATATAACTGATAATTAGGAAAAAAATGGTCGACCTTCAGTGCAATGCTATGCTACACACTGGTTTCAGCTGTGAATAGTTTGTCTGAAATGGCATCTTCCTATTTATTATTTACTATCATTTTCAACCCAGTAAGCTCACAAAATAACTAGCAAGGTTAAAAAGTACAACACATTTTTATTGATTTTTTTACTGTTCTTTATCACCTCTGCCAGAAATCTCATCCAAACAAATTATCCAATCTGCAAATAGCTATAAAAAGCAAGAATGAAAATAATGGGTTTAATTTTTATTTAAGGCTAAAGATGTTACAAAGGCAGCTCTGTGTCCTACTCTGAGGTGAGGAAGGCTATACATTACTCAGACTATTGATCTTCCCACTTTGAATGACCACACATTTATTTCATAGTTAAGTTTGTGACATGGGATTCAGGCTCAATTTTAATTTGAATATGTAGATGAATAACACATAAAAATGATTATGTGAGGGCCAAACTCTGGCTTTTTTTGGAGGAACTGATTGTTTCTGAATTTCAGAGGTGCAGAGATCTCAACACTTCTTTTGAAGCCAGTAGCAGCTAATGGGTGAGTGGCATCTTGGGAAGTCAAGCTGTTATGCAGGTATCTAAATATGAATTTGAGATCACAATTTTTGACACTCTTCATGAAAATGTTACTTGGCCATATTCTATATGTGAAATGCAACTCAGAGATCTTAAATACATGGCATAGGGTCATAAAATTTCACCAACAATGCCAAAATCATACGTGGTCAGACATCCTATAATCTGTAATCACTACTAAGACAATTTTAGGATAGAGTAACAACAGAGTCAATATTTGCAGCAACTTAAAAGAGCTACAGTACATGAATGACATTATTAAAATAAGATTTATACACACAAGAATGTTTTTAGTCACTAGTAAAGCTTTTTTTAAGATAATAGCTCATGAGAATTTTAAATTAAGATATTTTCTGAGAATTATTATTATTTGGTATTAAAATGTTACTTTATTGTAGCTTTTAAAAGATTGATTTCATGCATTGAGATGTTCATTAGTGAGGGTTATCAAATGCTATATTAATGTACATCTAATGATATACGATCTTATCATGGCTTTACCTGACCCAGTAAAAGTGTCAAGTGATCCATCTCCAGTTGTTGTTGTTGTTTCATTGCTGTTCATGGGCTCTGTTTTCACTGCAAGAAGAGACACTACATAGAAGAATAAGTAGACATGAGATTTTTTTCTTCTAAATTTACACCGGACTCCTCATGCCCACTTCATCACTAGCACTCCAGCTAGAATAAGCATGCAGGGTTACAGCTTAGACCTTTGTTCTGCTGTGTTACAGAGAATATAGTATGATGACTTGGGCTGAAACAGCCATTCATCTACCTGTTTTTTATCTGTGCATTCACCTATCTATTAGCTTTGGCAACTGGAATATCTTCTGGGGAGATTTCAATTTAAATCTAATTCATTCTAACAATTCCCTGTGACTAACAGAGAGGAAGGAAACATCAGCTGTCAAGGAATGTAGCACGTAACAAAAACAGTTTTGCCTGACAAGTAAAACAATAATATGGTGTCATTTTCCTACAGAACCAAAACACTTCCACAGTGCCAGCCTTCTCCCATTTCCTTTCCCTCATTTTCTGGTGTGTGTGTTGGGGAGCTTTTCAGTTTTTCTCTCTTTTTTTTTTTTTTTTCTGTGTGTGTGTGTATGTGCTAGGATATTGGCAAGTTATTTTCCATAAGCTGAGGGAGAAGTAAAAAAGGAAAAGAGCAAGAAATTGAAAAAGAACCCTGGAACTACAGGAGGGCATAAATGACAGCCATGAAAAAGTCAGCTTCTAACTAAAAGTTCCTAAATTAAAAATTAGATAGCAAATATGTTATTAAATGTTATCAAAAATTTGGTTCCACTATGAACTCAAAATATTTTTCATGAATCATCATGCACCCATATTTATCACTCAGACTTTAACTGAAAACATCGTAGAGGCTGTATAAAATAAATATTTTATATCTAGTTTGATATGTTACCTCAAGAGACAATATAGTATGGACTTTTATGCTAGAATTTGGGAACTACTCTTCTAATTTGCATGATAAGAAACAAAAATACAGAATACATCATGGCTTTTATTAGAAGTTTGATTGCCTTATTTGGAAAATCCCAACAGAATATCGTAATTGCTTGGAGAAGATCTGTTAAGGTTACCACATGCATCAATGGTTGCTTACAGATCACTGCATGGATCAATGGCTGGAGGGATAGGTGTAAGGACCTGTGTGCCTCCCAGCTGCAGACACATACACTGGATACTGTAATGCCAATGACAGTCTGGGATTTTAAGAGAAACCTGCTGTGACTGCCAAGCTGGCAAGAGCACCTTCTGGCAGATGTAACATATGGCAAGCAAAGGCATTTTCAAGTAAGTCATGTTAGATGTTATAGATGCTTATCACTGTACAAGTGACATATGAATTCCAAAACAAAATAAAAAAAAAAAACCAACTTGACCAGGTAAAACATGTACTATTTGAGCACAAACGCGGTATGTTGGTCTCTGTGATATACAAGATGTCCTACAATATTGGCAGGGTCACAGTGCTAACAAAGTCAAACAACCTCTTCTTATCCCCTTCTTGTAAGTTAGTTATACTGCAGATGCTATCTTTCCCTTTCCTGTAAGTGATTAAAAAAAACTTGRATGTATTTGCCTTTTACATGCATACTTCTTTTCATTATCTTTTCTCTTTGAAATATGCATACTCATTGCTCTGCCAGCAGCAGGATRTTAATTGAAAATGAAATTAAGAAGAAGAATTTTAGCCACATTTTTCAAGATGTTGTACCCTCCTTATCATTTTGAAGGCCTTTGCTGACTGTGAAAAAAAATCTGTGACAAAAATCAAACAAACTGAACAAATTTATTCATGAATAGTCTACTGTTACTATTTTGTACTTATACAAGAAAGATATGTTTATACTTTCAGTAAATCAGTAAGATATACATTCATGAAAAGGTTGAATGATCATTCACCATGTCGTAACAATTGCCTTCTCCAGCTCTCAGGCCTTTCAGTCATATAGAACATGTATTTTGGCTTGAAGCATAAAAAAACCAAAACTACATTTTAATGTATGCACATATTTTTATTTCTCACAAGAATGATAAATTTTACTTCCCCAGACAGTTTTATCTTCTCTGAAGATCAAATTTTACTTCATAAGATCTACATCTCTTTCCTATGCAATTTTTCCATCAACTTACATGAAAAAACCTTCTACTTTTTATGACCTTTAACCACTTCTATTCAAGGAGGCTTTCTATTTCTGCTAGTGCTTGACAGTCATGACCTTTGTTCTATGTTGGATCCAGAAAGACACTTTTATATGTGCCTGTTACCTTTAACTAAAGCTTCAGTGAGGAACTGAGGTACTTGAGTTATCTATATTTTTTTGATTATTGCCAGTTCTAGTGCACTTCCATTGACACAAATATTCACCCTATTCTTCTGTCCTTGTCAATGATCTAAAACAAAATAAACTCATTTGTGTACTTAACAAGGCACCTCTGCTAAGGACAGAAAATGAAAACAGTGTTTTAGGAACAGCAGATGCTACTGCTATGCCCAAAGTTGGACTAGCAAGTGTGACAGTGAGAGGCAATGAGAGCAATTAGAGCAAACAGATCTGAGTCTTTAAAAGATCATGCAGAACAATCACCCAGGCAGCCTGCTATGAGAAGGATGCTCTCCTTCCTTGTAGCAAGCTTAAGATTTTCCTAAGGGAAGAGGCCAACAAGACCAAAGTGAAGCGGCTAGCAAAGAGCTTGTGAAGCCAAACAGCCAGGAGAGCTGCAGAACATCTCATGGGACAGCTGGCAGCTGCCCAGCCATCTGAGGCTTGCCTTAGAGTCGCACCAGGTCTGGATGAGGAGGGACAGCACCTGGTTTGGGCAGAGCATCTGAGAGGAAGGATTGCAAAGGCAGACACATGGTAGCAGCCATTCTGCAGAAGCCAAGGAAGCCCCATAACATCTCAGGAAGGAACACAAGATGACATACATTAAGCTATAGCTAGTTTAAGCACATAATATCATATAATGAAAGACATACTAAAAAGTGCAGGTATTGCACAGATTGGCCTCCCCAGGACATACTCCACCAGAAGCATCGATTAAGGATTCTACTGACATTGGAAAATCAAATGCTGAAGTGATCCCATTAATGCAAGGACTTTCCTGCTGGATATAGCCCACTTCTGGTAATTAGTAGCTCAGTTATTACCTTCAACTTTTACCTGAACTTGCTGACAACATAACTGAGGTGACAGACTAAACCAATTCATTTTTTATTTAAACTTAAATTCTTCTAAGTGAGTAGGAACATTCACACAATATCTTTTTTTTCTAGTGCAAAATTATTTTTGTGCTCAAGTTCAAACTTGTTTTGATAAACTCTCTCAGGATACATAGCTTGCATACATCAAGCTAATACTAAAGTTTTTTTTTTTTTAAAGGAAACGTTTTATATATTCCTTGCCTAGATCTGTGCAGCTTAAGCAGATATGCTTGTAGATAGTCACAGCAGTGCATGTTTACACTTATGATTATTCCTATAGTTGAGGTAAAAGTATTGCATATATAATTACTACAATGCATTATAATTCATAACAATTAATACACACATGAGAGGAAACTCAAATAAAAACAACAGCTGGGAAAATCTGACCAGATGTTTGTAAAGTGGCAAATTACACATAGTAGTACACTAAATATATGCTTTAAAAATAAAAGCAGTAGTAGCTATGTCAGCCTTGATTTTGATCAGGTTATCATGCAGTGCTGCAGCTAAAATAAAAGCAAAACAAATGGGTATTCTGTGGAAAATCCATTGATCTGAACTTCTAGAGATGATGAGTAGTAGCAGTTCCCAGCAAAGTTAATTAGTACTGAGCTCTGACATTCTCTCAGAGCAAGTATACAGTTAGCCTATGTTAGAGTCAGTTAAAATTTGCATTGTTCATCAAATGGCTTTCAACGTATGGTAAGATAAATATTTATTACAACTTCCTTCCAGTTTCTGCTCTGGGAAAGGCCTCCAAAAGGGGGCCTCTAAAAAAAAAAAAAAAGAAAAAAGCAACTGAAAAAAATCCCAGCACATAAATGTCCAAACCACAGAACAAAAGCAGACCAAGAGAGATGTAGCACAGCAGTCACAAACACACACCACCACACACATGCACTGTACCAGGATCTCTCATACTTGTTGCAGAAGAAGGAGTACTGCAACTCAGCAACCAGTCTGCAGTATTTAAAACGGTCATGTTGTCTCCTGAGAACAGCAACAGTATAATGGTTCATTGTCTGAATGTCTGTTCAGTGTGCAGGAATATTCTCCAATGCAAGTAAGTGTTTTTGCATTTCAAGCCAAGTCTTTTAACTGCACTGTATTGTTTTTATGAGTATTATTTTAACTGGTTTATTTATGAAAGCATAATACAGAGGCATATAGTTATTAGTGTTCTTTAAAGAGAGGCTTACAGATTTCCCCTCTCTTTATGCTAGAATAAGCATTTTATATAAAAATATAAATAGGTCGAACCTTAGTAGTTCAGCCTTTCTCTGCAGGACTCTGTTCTCTCCATATACACAGGCACTTTTTATTGACATTGACACGTTCTTTTTTTTTTTTTTTTTCTAGACAAGGGTAAGTGAATAAAATGTTTTATATTGTGGTCAGAAAGAAAATGTTACAAAGATTTTGGTGCCAAGGATTAAAATAGAATATAGCATATAAACTCCAAAAGAGAGGGCTGAAAATCTAGTTTAACTGGTTATCAATGGTGCTACTCTCACTGATACGAATGGGGCTGGAACTCCATCTCAGAGCCTTATACCCTTCCTCTCACTGCTTCATTTGGCAGAACCCAATATCTGCGTAAGAAATACTGCAATGTCTGTGTTTTAGTTGCATGGTGGTGCTGCCCTTGCAGTAATGGGGCATTAATTATCACCGCACTTTATAAAGACTTTAAAAATATTTTATGAAAAACTCTCATTACCTGCAAAAAAACAGAATTAGTGCCTGTCACTTCAACTAGTACAAACTGGCAAATTGGTGTTGCAAACTGGTGTTGGAGTTTGCATATTTACAGTGGCATAAAATTTACATTAATGGAGTAAAACCTCAGSCTAAATGTTTTTATCTTCATTTGTGCTGCAAAGTGCAAATTTAAATATGACCATGTTTCTTCCATAATTTTTGATGGATTTCTAAATGGGCACATGCTCATCAATAAAATGCTGTTTTAAAAAATATATATAACTGAAATCTAGCTAAAATCTTCTGTGCACCAGCGATATCTTATACTCACCTCCAGTTCCATTTGTTGTAACTGATGTACTGCTCAGATTGGATTTATCCAGTTTGGAACTACCCGATGCATCACTACTTCCGACCAGATTATGAGGACTTGCTAGATCTTGCATTTCCATAGACCTGTTAAGAAGAAAGCAATAGTATTTAAATGYATTATCTCAGTATCTGTAATAACATGAATTTTCTAAAGTAATATTTTTGGACATGGACATTTGCAAGGTAGCTAGATTTACAGATCAGTACAGGGTCTACAGTACAGTACAGTACAGTTTTCATTGTTCTGTAACAGATGTATACATGTATGTATGTGTGCGTGTTTTAGGGGAAAATGGATAAACTAAAAGCAAGTCAGTCATTACACAGCAACACAGAAAAACTTCTTACTGACATTATATTTATGCCAGTCCCCAATAGTCACTAAATTTACACTACACTATAGCAACAGAGCTTGCACGTAAAAGAGCAAAGCTGTCATGCATCCAGAAGCTTGCTAAAGCTCACAAACACATGCATTCTTATTAGCTTGCTATTTTTTCTTCCAAGTCACTTTTGGGCAACTTGCAAAATTCCCCAAAGGCAATGAACATAGTAGTTACAGATCACCACAGATTTCAGTGACACAATCACAGGGAGAGACTGCAGATGGCTTTCAATCGGGGACAACAGACTTGCTTTCCTCAGAGACAACAAACAACACACACGAGGCATTCCACATTACACTGGCATCACAGCCCAGTTTTCTGTGTGTGCCCCCCTTTTCCTTGATTCATTTCTAAATTAGTTACATTTTTTCCCCAATAGAAACACAAAATAGGCTATGCCTAAGCAAATTTGAAAGCCCATCTACAACAGAAGAATTAATTACCACATGTATTGTACAAAATGCAATATGTGCTTATAGGCCTGGAAAAATCCAGAATCATTGCAGAAGGCTGAAATGACCAGGAAAGAGATGAACACTTGGGATAGTCCAATAACTGTACTGCAGTGGCCACTTTCATCTTATGTACTCATTGAAAGCTTCCRTTAGAACTGTTTATATTCTGTGCAYTGCACAGATTGTTCTTAGGAAAAATCACAGATCATCAAGTGTGTTTGCCTTCAGATATCACAGATCATCAGATATGTGTTTGCCATCAGAATCTGTTTTTCTCTTCAAGAAAAGAAAAGAAAGGAGAACCTCTCATTATACTCATGTATAATGAGTGCCTCTCATTATACTCATGTACCCAAACACACAGATTGAGAGCTTTCATGTCTTGAATATCTTATGATTTAGGAAATATTGCATTAAAACTGTGAAAATGAAGCACATTTTCTCCAGTAAAAGCTTGGATCAGGTCTGAGACCCAGTAGAATTTTTTTGGCGAGGCAGTCTGCCTCAAAACAGTTTGGACAATTAGTGTGAAGCTTATTTTGCTTCACAGAGATCATACACCAGTAGGTAAGAGTATTATAGCAATCTTCAAGGAAATGCAATGGCATAAACTGAGGCTTGAACAGCCTTWACTTAGATTTCATGATCTCACTGCATATTTATTTCCCCTCATCTATCAGCAGTSCATTTGATTTCTTGTCTACTGGACATGTGAGCAATGTTGGATGAAATAAAATGAAATCAGGTGGTTTACTGTTCCATCAACTTTTGTTTAGTATCTTTGATAAAAGAAGGATAGCAACTAAAGGCTAAAGAAAGTCTATGAGTTACCATTTTGYATGTATTCAAGGGAGCAAGAGAAAGCTACACAAATAAGCAATGTGTGCTCTGTTGTATATACAGTTTAAWAAGCCCCATATGCTCACCTAGCAGTTTAAAAGTGTCATGATTTCGTGTTCAAGTATGATCAGAAATATCTAATGGACAGTTCTAGCTTGGAAAGTTTACACTAGTTGTTTTTTTTCTTGTTTAACATGCAAACTGCAGTAATTTCTCTGTAGATAGGTATATATCACAGCTGCAAGATATATGTACATTAACAATATTTCACAAGCAAAATCATTAACTTACCTAGATACTGTATTTTAAACTATTTGTCTCAAGCAAATTTCATACTCATATGAATTAGCTTTTTAACCAGAAAACTCAGTCCACTGATTTTCTTTTTTCAAATAAATAAACACTTGAATATAAAAAAATCTGACATTGTAAAACAAATAATTATTGCTTCATACCAATATGTAATCATTTGTGTAGCGAAGCAGCAAAGTATACCACCTTTCATTTGTTTCCTATGCTCAGCATGCAGCAAAAGGCATAAACATGGCACCTAAGTATGACTGTCATGCAAGTGAGTTAACCAATCAGTGCTGTCTTAAAAATAGTACATTTATAGATTGAAATTTTAGCTGGGTGTATAAAAGACACTTTGCATTTAAGGRTATGCAATTATGGATAGAAAGGATATCCAAAAGGATAAAGAGTTTTGCAAAACCAATTGTATATATTTGCACTTACCCTAGATGCTCTACCCTGTGTCAATGAGATTATTTTAATATATGCTTATGTGTCATATTTATTCAAGTGYACGTTACCTTCTCTGTAACAGATTTCAATTCACCTTTCTGGCTGCTTTTAGTTTACTTTTAGCCTAAAATTTCTCAGAAAGATGTAATGGACCTACCACAAATCTTACAGTATCACTGAATAAATGATTCAGGAAAAACATTTAATAAAATTGATGAAATAATTCCAACATCTTGAACTCATTTTTTCAAACTAAATGTTTATCAGACTCCTSCTTTCACTGTCTTTAATCAGAGGCAGATTTGGTTCAGTATGTGTTTTCCTGCAATAACCAAGGGAAAAAAGAGAAAGAGAGTGATCTCTGAAGGACCAATTAATACTTCTAAGTGCATGTGGTTATTTATTAAAGACTGCGTTCCAGTATATGCAATGTGTTTCAATTTAGACAGATTAATGTCCATTGTTAAAGCTGTTTGAACAACTACATCATGTAACTTTATTTTCCATTTGTTGCTGCTTTGCTGTGTATCTGAGCTAGTTTCCTCAAACTCGTTTTATCTCAGACCACTTTTTACAGCAATTTAACACAATGTTCAGTTGTATCAGAACTATTTTTTAAGAAATGCATTGTTTTGCAAGAAATTCTTTTACATTTTTCTTGACTGCTTACATGAAGCATGTTAACATGAGTCTAAGCTTCTGCACAAAAATCAGAAATTCGGACAATGGAATCATATTTTACTCTGCTTGGCTAAGCTTCCAAAGCTCTAAGCTACTGGCACTTCCACATGCTTAGAGGAGTATTTTAGAGGCTTCCTGGAAAAGTCTCTAAAACGTCCCATTTGCACAAAACATCCTTCCCAGATCCCAGGTCTCAGCTGTAGCTTCAACAAATCATAGCAGGGTTATGAACTTGGGGCTTCCACATTAGATCACATTTTGTTCCCTGACTTGAAGTGACACCTTTTCAAGCAGTAACCTATGTGCAGAAACAGCATCCAAACAACATCTTCCTATCTGTCTTTACAGGGGTGGCAAATGGACAGAACTTGTGACATACCCTGGACCACTGAAACATGTAGCCCAGCATCATTAACTAAATTTTCATGTATAAATCCAAAATAAAAGTGCTTGAAATAAATTTAATCTTTCCATTAAGTTTCTAAATTAATCTAAAAAAAACTTTTTAAGAAAATTATATAGATTAAGTTTTTTACTAGACTTTAGTAGGGCAAATACACATTGTCTATTTTTTTTTCCTAGCTTTTTCTGTTTCTCAGTGTTCTGTTCTTATCAGTTTCATTTATCATGCTTATATCCACAGGAACTGTATATAATGCAATTAAAAGTAAGTTACACTAATCCTTTAACTGAGCATTAATAAAGCAGGTAGAAAGATATGTATTCTGGATATGTTTTTGTAGTACACACATAGATGCAAATATATGTCTATTAACAAGCAACTACATGCATATTTTTAATATTTTCTGGTGCTAAACATACAAACATATGCCAATCTGTATATGAATGCACGATAAAAAACTTTCCAAAGTCTTTTAAYCAAGGACTCACAGTGTAGCACAACACATAGCCTAAGAAGAATCCTCAAACATGTAATATTTTTAATTATTATACTAATCCAAATATACCAGTTAATAATTTTTCCTTTTCCAGATCCCTTTACTCTGTGTATGGCAGCTTTGACATTTTATACACTGTAAAAGGTAATAAAAAAAAATGCAAAATTGAAGAGGTAAATTTTCTCCATTGACATAATCCCCAGGCTCATCAACTCCTGCTTTGCATTTCTGCAAGCTTGCCAGCTGTATACCRCAGTACCAGCTCTTTTTTCTTCACCAGGTACCATCTTGCAAAAGCATGCCCAATATCATGCAAGTTCTGGAAGCCTGCCAGGGAGTCAGCAACAAATAATACTGTCGGACACTAACAAGACCTCCTCTCGACTCTCCTTGAGGCCTCATGTCTTAGCTTGTACAGTGATCTGATACAGCACTAAGAAGCAGTAAAAGATGTCATGTTGTATGGATACAATGAGCAAATTCCCTTCAGAGTTTTAACTTATTACTTAAAAAAAAAAAAAAAAAAACAGAAAATAAAATCTGAAATTTTTGCAATCATTTGGGAATGGAAGGGGGTTCTAGTGCGTACTTTCTTTCTTTCATGGCCTGGTAAATCGGATGTCAGTTTTCATATTAAATAAATGGGAAAAGAAAGAAAACTAATACCATATTGATCTTCTAAAAACACTTTGTCAGATTACAATTGCTGTCAGATAAAGGCTATCACAGGGAAGAAACCTTAGTGAAATGAAAAAGGGCAACGAAAGTTTCCTACTGGGTTAATAAATACGCACAGTTAATAAATAATAAAATCCCAGGAGGTTCAGCTTAGTAGAACTGTAACTGTAGAGTAAAGGCTGCATTTACAGACCGTATGAATATGGATGACTCATTACAGACTTGCATCTCATGGTGAGAATTCCCAGTGCTGAAGTTCATGAGTTCAAGCTCACAAAGAAATAAGCTCTACCTAGGGACTGCAATAGCAGCACTGTGTGCTGGGGAGAGGAGCCTTGAGGAGCAGGGAGAGAATAATTTGAGGAAAACCCAGACTTCTCATTTTCAGTTTATAGCTC